TCATACAACTCCGATTCTAGGGGATTCTATATACTTTTTCCTCTTGTTTTCATTTCTGATTCTAGACATTCAATTTTTTTCCCATTGGTTGGTTCCTCCTAATATGTCTAATTATGTACGTGCTTGTCACAATACGATTACAACAATTTTTCCGTGCCCAGTTCATACTTGACTATTCTTCAAAATTCTTTGTTTATCTATTCTTGTTTCTTTTTACAGGGGGATGTAAGCAGAGATACCAACCATCAAAATTCAGAGAGCAATATCATCATTGAAGACCTGGACCAAACTTTTCATGGCAATGTTTCTGAAGTTGAGGCCTCTAATATTGATTTAACAGAAACGGATGCATCAGATGGCATGTTGCTTGATGGTATAAAAAAATGGTAAATCATTTTTCACCGCACCAAACTTTTTTGTGTTTTCGTGCTTCTTTTTTGCCTTCATAAGTTCAGTCTTGTTTGAATATAATCTGTTCTATAAGAGCCTAATTTTCTTTTTTGTTATTTTGGTTTTTTTGTATGCAGCTGCAAAAGAGTGATGAGAGTAAACATGGGAGGAATGTTTTGAAGGAGCAAAGCAGGAAGGTAAATTGTTTTTTATTTCAATTAACATCTTTTACCTACCACGCCATCGGTTTTTTATTATAAGTAGTGTGTTATCATGCCAAGTACTTTTTTGTTTGATAGAGCTGAGTTACTAATTTTAATTTGTCTTTTTTGCTTGATTATCAGATGGGAACAACCCAAGAATGTTTGAATAAAGGAAGAGCAAGTGCGTATATCAGATTTAGCATAGGGTGTTCTTCCAAGATAGTCGACAGTGTTTGCAAAAGCAATTACAGAATGGAGCTTGTGAAGAACTCTGGATTCGGATACATGCTTGTGAAGAACTCTGGATTCAAGCAATTTTGCCAAGGCCTACATCTGGTCCCAAGCTTTTTTTTTACAACAAACAAACAAATTAAGCCCACAAACACAAGGCCTAGGCCCAGTAAACTTGCCGAGAGTGTGGGGGTGGTGGAGGGGGAGAGGGATGGCCCAGCCCTGGAAGCGTCCAACAAAAAAGGACGAGCAACGACAAACAATCGAACGACTGGGTGACAAACAATCGAACGACAGAACAAGAACAGGGGCGATCGAGAGGCTACAAACAGGATGATGTCATGTTAGATGTGACATAATTATGTCACATCTAGATGTGTCCTAGACAGACCCTTTCTGTTTCTATGGTGACTGGTGCGTAGTGTTGTTTGTTTTGTGTGGAGTCTTATTCCATGTTTTCCTTTATATTTTCTTGTACGTGTAGATATTATTCCATAGTTCCGTTCACCTACCAAAACCGAAATATATTAGTCTATCAGGTTTGGTTTCTTCTATTTAGCTGATTTTTCGGTTGTTTTTGAGAAACCGAAATCACAATTAACCGAATGCCCACTAATAGTCGGTCCATAGGCGATGTTGTGCTGGTTGCAGGGTGCACGTCTGTGTGTTACCCAGCGGCCTACGCTCGTGCATCAGTGCATGCATGGGATGGCGTAGTAGTGGTGCTCGTTCGCCAACTAGCCCACACTCTAGTGTTCTTTTTTTCTTTCTCGCCATTTTTTTTGTTGTTTTGCTCTCTAAAAACCTGTCTACCTTTTCAAATTTTGAAAATGGTGGAATAAAATTTGGTCATGGGATTATAAAATAGTTCATGAATTTGAAAAAAGATTTGTGGATTCTCAAAATTCAGAAGTAGTTCATAAATTTGAAAATTGTTTGTGAATTAGGAAAATGTTCAAGAAATTGAAAAAATGTTCATGTATTTGAAAAGTTCATGGATTTAAAAATATTCATCGACTTGGAAAATGTTCATGAATCTAAAAAACATTTGTGAATTTGAAAGAAAATGTTCACAGATTAAAAGGTTAATGAGTTTGAAAATATGACTCAAATTTGGAAAGCTTGTATGAATTAAAAAAAGGAATATGGAAAAAATTCACAAATATTCATGACTATTTCTTTTTATGAAACATTAGATTAAAAAGTAGATAAAAAACACAAAAGGGAAGAAAAACAAAGCTTCCCAGAAATATGAACATTTCAAAGAGTTATGGGCCGGTGAAAGGATCAAAATGGACCTAGAGAGGGGGTGATTAGGTACAAATACAGATTTTAATTCCTCTATTACTTTGCAATTTTAGGCAATTATACGGAATGTGAAAGTGAGCATAACAATTGTAAAGTATAAGATCTTTATGATGTGAGAGTATAAGATCAAGGCTATTTATCATGTGTATGAGTGGTATATTTGCATTGAATATGAATGGATAAGCACATGATGTGAGAGTGGAATATGTTCAAAACTATGAGCATGTGCTTTTTTTTTTGTGATCCCTATTGATCCCCTCTTAATAGTGCAGAGTCCCTATGCCCAAGAACAAAACCGAAGAAGGCTACACCTATATGTTTATCTTCGTCTCTCCATTCTTGAGCCATATTCATTTAAATGGGTTCATTATCCACACACAATTATTTCACATGGTGATATTGACCGAACCTCGATGGCGAGATCCGGTCCGTTGTTGCGGCCCGATCTTTCACGACACTCCACCTCCAATAGCAGTAACCTCTCGCCCGCGCACGCGATGTACACGAAATAGAGAGTTTGAACCTTGCGGCTCTGCACGAGAAAACCAATCTCGACGACGGTACTCACGCGCAAAACAATTTCCTCGCAGAAATCGCAACACAGAGGTTTTCTAAAGCTTCCTCCAAAACTTAGGGATTTTTAGACAGCTTTCCCCAAAACTCGATACATGTATTTACCCTAAAACCACATCATATTTATTCATAAAATATAACCTGATTTTTACAGCAACACACTATGGCTTTATATAGCAGCCAGAACATTTATCCTGACTTGGAAAGCAAGCTCTCTGACTAAAACTCACGGAAAACAAAGAAAGGAAACCTGGATCGGACGCCATATTTAAATAATACTAAAAGATTATATGCTTTATATTCTAGCAATATAATCCTTACAAAAGATTGACCTGGACTCTTTTGAACTTGTGCGTAGACATCTAACTGTTGTGTTGGTGGACCCCATCCAATATCACATAAGTTTAAACAGTCACGTATCTTCATGATTGGTTTGTTAAAGGGTAGACCACCCTTCTTCTTGCGTGGACGACATAAGAAAATAATTCGAACCCTTGTTCTGGAGAATCGTGCAAAGAAATCAACAAATATATTTGTTGTTTTATCTCTGACCAACGTACGTAACCTGCATGCATATCTATCAATCCTTGGCTGGTCTCTTTCCTCCAAAAGATAAAAACAAACTCCCTTTGTACTATACGTGCAAGTACTAGTCTGTTTTAGCATGAAGACAATGATGCATCTGGTCAGCTCCAGGCTTGCTCCTCTAGTTTGCTCGTGTGTACTTTCCTGATTGACCAATGTAATCGTTGTTTGTCTCAACTTGTTCTGATCATTGCACGATGTTGCATGCCTGGACGTAACGGCGACTAGCTCATCGACGTCTTCGTATTTCTGCCGTAGACAGGTTAAAACATGTACATTGCCCACTATGATTTCTAATGGTGCAGCAACAACTTGATCCCGACCATTAGCTTGTGCGTCGTCATTGTAATCGGTACACTTACAACCGGTTGTATCACATGGACTAAAACATGGGATACACTTAGCAAATGTGATTAGTCCCAACATTGAAACATACTTAAAAGGCAAGATTGCACTTTCAGGCGTCCCAATTAGTAAGAGGCCTAAGAAACTCTCAGTGTACCATCTCTCAAATGAGACTAGTGACGGTGCTAGCCACCTCCAATACAAACACTTTCGACTCCGCGATGACTGATACCGCTGGAGGAACCACCGACCTGATGTGGACAGAGAGGAAGAAACAAGACCCTCGACAAGACTTTCACAGTCATCAAGGTTTTGCTTGGACACAAACGATGGCTCCTTGAAGACATCGTAGGAACACATTGAGGCGGTGACCTGAAACTTTTATTCGTGATGACTACATCGGCACCAGCCGAGCAACGTCACCTAACAAACTAATTCTGTACGTAGAGTCCATTATTAGACCATTTATATACCAGTTGAACAACAACTACTCTCTAGAACAACAATAATTAATATGGATCTGAGGGTGTAACCGTTTTTTAACTGAAAACAACAACTCCCTCTATATCGAAATATGAGACTTTTTTTGTGTAGTTGACTATAAAATCATCCTATATTACTGTTGATAATTAGGCCTTATTAAAAATAACACGACACTAAGAAATAATGAGGTAGGATCTATTATGAGACCATCTATATACCAATCAAGTCTTGGCACGCAACAACCCTGACATCAGCGAATCGGCATGTGGTTGGATGGTTAGTAGGACAGTGGTATCCCATCCCATCAGGGTTCAAGTTCTAAACTTGACATTGGTGCTCGCATTATTTCTGAATTTATTTTAGACTTTCGGCGATGTTCGTTCAGTGCGAGTAGAAGTTCCATTGACTGCGAGGCGCCTGACTTCATAAAATCTCAAGATGCTATGCCGGCTCAGTCTTTCGGAAGTGCTCGTAGGGTAAGGCGTGCATGTGCACGTTTATAGGGATGAGTGTATGCTCGTGTACGTGAGTGACTTTGATTATACATTATACAGTGTTAAAAAAAGAAAAGCAATCCTGATCTCAAATCTTCAGAATCCAAGCCTAGGCAGCCTTTTCCGGAAGCCAACCAAACAGCCCCAACTTTCCCCAGTCCGACCGAGCCAACAACGCGGCCCGCCGGCCCCCTCCTCTCCGTCTCGGCCTCCGCCCCGCCGCCTCTACGTCATCTCCCCCCTCGTCTCCTCGCCTAGGACGCAGATCCCCTACTCGATTGCCGCCGCCTGAGCAGCCGTGCCCGAGAGCCCGCCCACCCACCGCCCCACGCCCTGACGCCGCTCCGGTTCGCCGCCGACCGCAGCAGCGGAGAAAGCGAGAGGGAAGATGCCTAAGCGGACGACCCACACGTACTCGAGCGAGGACGCGCTGCCGGAGGGCCCCGAGTCCGACCTCTTCGTCTACTACTGCAAGCACTGCGCCTCCCACGTCCTCATCACTGGTCAGTCGGCTCCTCCTCCCTCACGCCCCCCTTTCTTGGTTCCTCTTCGTTGCAGCGTGGGCTTGTATCTGGAGGCTTTCGGTTAGTTTTAACAGATCTGAGAAGTCCCTCCGGATGTTCTAGGCTAATGTTGTTCTTTCTAGCTGAAGCACCGAGTGGGGATTCTTGTCAACGAAGTGGCAGTCTTTTTTTCTTTCTTATTAGATAACCCTGCAGGAGCCCTGCCTGTGTGTTAAGAAGAGTATAATCGAGGTTAATTAGGGCCTCTTTGATTCGCAGGATCTTCAAAACACAGGAATAGGAAAACAATATAGGATTTGAGTGGCATGCTCTCTTCAATCCTACATGATTTGGAAACTATACGAATTTGGATAAAATAGTGTTTGATGCCACATCAAGAACAAAGGAATTGTAAAAGGAGGTTTCAGTGGATGGAAATTTTCCTCCAAAACCGAGGGCAAAGCAATCCTTTGGAAGTTTTCATAAGGATTCCAATCTCACGAACCAAACCTATGTAGGAAAAATTCCTAAGGATCTAAATCCTGCAAAATTTCCTATGAAATTCCTCTGGATGAAAGAAGCCCTTAGGTAAACTGCACGAAAACTAGATGCAAAGGGTACTAACCCCCAGCAACGAATGCCAACGAAAAAATGTCCCCGCCGCGTGCCCTCCCCGCAAAAACACCGAGTGAGACAGATCCAGTGTGACCTGCTCTGGGGGATTGGGGAAGACCACAGCAGACTTCAAATCAAAGAAGCATGAAAGATGCAATGTCAAGCACCGCACAACCACCCCACTATCACCACTGCCGCCAAAACCGCTGTGGGAGGAGCGGGATCAGGTCTCCCCGACTTTACCGGTGGTGAAATTGCATCTCAAGGATCCGCATCGTTCATAATCAAGAACATGAGTAGCTAAAGGGATTCAGCTTGCTAGGAGGTTTTCTTCGTTTGTGTGTCAGCATTGTGAACTTTGAATTTCACCCTTGTTCTTCTGAGCTTAATTAATACTAGTAATATGAGTTTTCTCTTAGCTGAGCTTGCCATAGATGGTTCCTTGGAATAGTAGAAAGCTGTACTGACCTATGTTTGTAATTTGTCACAGATCAAACCACAATAACTTGTTTGCATTGTCCAAAAAATCCGCCTATTAACTGGCCAATTAATCCCTCCTCGGAGGGTCACCGAGTAGCTGATTAACTGATTAATCGGACTTTTCGCCTTTTTGTCCTCACTTTGAATCTTGTCATTTTTTCTTGTTTATAATTGTGTTGTTTCATATGATTAGCAGTTAAATCTAGCTAGTGATAGCAATTTTAAATTGCTAAGTTGAAATTCCTTTCTGACATTGACTACTTTCAAGATTGTTGTATTCGATGTGCCCTGTTAATACTTAAGTATCTGCTATAAAATCAGTTCTGATGTGTTTGTTATAAAGATACCCTATTGCAGAAAATGCCAAAGAGGAAGACCGACCGAGCACATGTTCTAGATAAGGCAAAGCATCTTGCGAGGTTAAATGTGAAAGATGCAGGAAAAATCTTGTTGAAACGGTATACTAATCATACCTTGTAACTTTGTTATTGTTAGGTACTTGAGTCGAATCCCATGTTTTCTAATATCATTGCACAATTGATAGACAATATTACACCTTGGTAACGCGATGTTATGTATGCTCACTACCCTGGTGAAATTTGCCACTTTATCTATTATCACGTCGTATGTACCCATGATATGAGTGCTGCGATCTTAAGTGTGCACAATTGTTTTTGAGAAGAAAATCCAGTGGTAGCTGCATCAACTCAGGGTAAACTTACACAACTTTTTATTGCATAACAGTAGCCAACTTGCAAATGAATAATTTTAATGAGGACACATTTAAAGATTGAATCTTCTATAAAAAGAATTGCCCAGAGAAAAAAGATAAGAGGAGACATGAACACAACAGATCATAGTATTTTATCTCTCAAACACCAATTAACAACACCTGCAGTAGGACCATAGGATGTACTCCCTCTGTAAACTAATATACAACTTTTTAGATCACTACTCTAGTGGTCTAAAAAGTCTTATATTAGTTTACGAGGGAGTACTACCTTTTTGCTAATTAACTAACTCATCTCTTTTAATGGCACGCCCTGCAACACAGCACATGCATGTACATATCAACTCTTGCGGGTCAGTAACTATGACCTGCAATCAGTATAGAGCTAGTGCTACTGTTAGAATCAATTTTCCCTGTATCAGATTTATAGATATATTCTGTACTTTGAAATATGTGAATCCTTCTACACCATCCACAGTTTTCATGTGAATACTCATTTGTAGTAACCACCCAAGGGTCATTTGTCTTAAGTGATTCCATTGTTGCAGTGGACTACATTTTTGCTGATTATATAATGTAAGTATCTCTGACGCAGTGGAGAAGGAAAGCTCGAAAAGCAGTTTCGCATGACCTGTGTGGGATGCGACCTTTTTGTTTGCTACCGATCGGAGGAAGATTTGGAGCTTGCTCCTTATATATATGTTGTTGATGGAGCACTGAGTTCGGTGGCGGCTGAGACAAATCCACATGTAAGCGTGATGGAACTTCCTTTGATCCTTCCAATCTGTTTTATTATTTTGTAAGCTAACAGACCATGGAAACTGTAGGATGCGCCTGTACCCCCTTGCATAACACAGTTGCAAGGTGGACTTGTCCAAGTTGCCATTGAAGTAGAAGACCGAGCACAACGTTCAGCAATAACAAGTACGTTATGTTAATCTTGTAGTAAATTTGTTGTTTAGACGAATGCAACTAAGCACCGCTGCTCTCCTCTATAACATAATAAACCGGACAGTACTAAGAGGAATCAGTATCATTTCAGTTACCAAGAGAAAAGAAGACGTGACAATTGTATTTATTCTTATCAGGAGTGAACGCTGACGATGTTCGAGTAGCAGTAGCTGCCCCTGCTGCTCGGGGGGAGGCCAACAACGAGTTGCTAGAATTTATGGGAAAGGTCACTTTCTTCAATCTTAATTCTTGGCAGTATTTGAGACATTTCAATGTTGTAGTGTTTGTTTACCTTGGTACCTATATGGGTATAGATTTTATAAGGTGATCAAACTTCTCACCTGAACATATTTGGTCTGACAATTTATGTGATCATCAGGTGCTTGGCTTAAGATTGAGTCAGATGACCCTTCAAAGGGGATGGAATAATAAATCAAAGCTTCTGATTGTAAGTCCCCATTTCTCATGCCTCATTTTAGGGAACATATTAATGTGCCGAGCTTTCTGTTAGCAGTCAGTGGACTCAACATTTCACATGTAGTTCAGTATTTATTTTCCGTCAATCTTCTGGCTCCATCTATTGACTGTTTTCTTGTGCAAAACCACCTTGTCTTTATTTAGGTTGAGGATTTGTCTGCGCGGCAAGTTTATGAGAAGCTCCTAGAAGCTGTCCAACCATAGAATACCGACTTTGATTTGCAGCAGCCTGCATACCCTTATCTGAAACGAAAAGGACCCAAGGCCACCTATATTTGATCTGCTGAAGAGAAGGCTCAGGCCACAGAACCAGGTGTCGAAAGAGCAGCAGGTGCCAAAGACACAGGTGAAGGGGGTCGAAAGGCTGCTCAATAGAACTAGCTCTGACCTCAGAGCAAGCAGCCAATCTGTGCTGAATTTCTTCACTGTTTCTGTTGTAATCCTTGTAACCATTACTGAGATGCATTGAAGCAAAGCTGTGTGAGTTGTGATGCATACTGTTACCCGTGTTTGTATGGAAACATCCAAAATATACATTTGATTTATTTTTAGCCTCAGCCTGTGGGTGATTTCTAAGGTGTAATGTTTGACATGAATGGTTCCATATTTTGTGTTGCGCGTTTATTGTTCAGCCCTCGCCGGAATTTCACCTGACAAGTAAACTGGGACCTAAAATAAAATAATCGTACGTATAATGCCTGGAATGTTGAGACTAATCGTGATTTGGTTTGACAGAGTTCTGTGGCCTGAGCACACATTTGGAAAAGGAAAGGGAAGAACGAAAAACAACTTTTTTTTTTGATTCGTTCAACAATAATATTATTTTCACACCAAAGACGACATTTTTTTAAGAAAGACAGGGCGACGTGCAGCGGCCCGGGCCCAGGCCCTAGCCCACGAACGGCCCGTCCATGGCAGAAACCCTACCCACCAGTCTCGCTCCACTACACCCCAAAGGCCGAAGCTCTGCCCAAACCCTCTGTTTTTCCTCTCCTGCCACTCCCCACATCGCCTCCGCTCCCCGCAGCGCAACCCAGGCGATCCGCGCCGGCTCCTCCCCGG